GTCTAAATTCCTGAATCTAGAGGAGTGATTGCATTCTGAAGAGGATGTGAGCTTTTGTGCTTCCAATTAGACACCTGAGTCTTATGGAGAGAAGAACTAGGTTCCGCTATGTGAGATCCACCATTAACATCCATGGAAGTGTGAGTGTCACTTCTCTGCTCAGCATCAGGGGTGTCTTGCACAACATTAGGGGTGTCTTTCACAGCATCAGCCACTTTTCTTTCTACTTCAGTTGTTGTAATAGAAGGGCCAGGTTCCTCTGAATCAGCTGGAGGTTCTGCTGCATCTTCTTCACTAGACTCCTTGACCTGACTCATTAGATCTGCCTTCCCGTTTGCCATATCAATGACTTCTCCAAGAACCTTTGAGTGCTCTCCATCTTGATCCTTCTTATCATGTGAATCTTTCCCACTAGAGTGGTGTGATTCATCAAAGATTACATGTACGTTTTTTCTGCACATTGAGTTCTTTTGTTGTAGACCTTGTATGCTTTGCTTTGTGAAGAATATCCAAAAAATCCATTAATCACTCTTGGCATCAAATGTTCCCACCGCTTCCTTACCATTATTGAGAACAAAACATTTGCAACCAAATTTTCTCAGGTACACCATCTTTGGTTTTCTCCCATTTAGCAATTCATACGGGGTCTTGTTTAGGAGAGACCTGATCATGTACCTATGTATCAGATAGGTGGCAGTGTTCACTGCCTCAACCCAAAAGCTCTTTGGTACACCACTATCAATTAGCATCGTTCTTGCTATATCTTCAATAGTCCTATTTTTTCTCTCCACAACACCAATTTGTTGGGGTGTTCTAGGAGCTGAAAAATTATGATTTATACCATTTTCAGCAAAGAATTCATCAAATTTTGCATTATCAAACTCGGTACATGATCATATCTTAAGCTTACAACATTATGGCTCATTTTCACTTGAATCAACTTCACAAAGGCATCAAAGATTGAAAAGGTTTTATCTTTGGTTCTGAGGAACAAGGTACATGTGAATCTGGAGTAGTCATCTACAATGACAAAGATATACTTCTTTCCTCCTCTACTGGGCATCCTCATAGGTCCACACGGATCCATGTGGAGAAGATCTAGTGGCCTTGAGGTGCTTACTTCCTTATTTGGCTTGAAGGAGGACCTAACTTGCTTCCCTTTCACACGTTCATCACACAGCTTGTGATCCTTGAATTTGACTTTAGCAGCCCACGAACCAGGTCCTTCTTGACTAGTTTGCTCAACAAGGAGAAGTTTGCATGTCCCAATCTTCTGTGCCACAATTCATCATCGTTATCAGCAACACTCAAACATGTAAGGTCCCCATTGTTCGGAGACTCAAAGTCTGTAACATAAATGTTTTTAAATCTTTTCGCCACCAAAACCACTTCACCAGTTACAGGATTGGTGACTGTTCACGACTTTGATAATAACTCCACTTTGTTTCCTTTGTCGCATATTTGAGAGACACTCAATAGGTTGTATTTCAGGCCATTCACATAATACCCATTCTCAATTAAATGAGTTTCTTCCCAATTATTCAAACTCCTAGAATGTATTCCTTTTTTCCAATACCAAAGGACACACTCCCACCTTGCAGGTCTTTGAGTGAAAGAAAATCGTCAGTAATTCCATGTACCATATGTGGCTGCTTTCTTTCGCTACTCCATGCACAAGAAAATTAGAGATTAGACTTAGGAATCCAAACAAGCTTGGGTCCCTTGTAATGAGGAAATGGGCAAATTAAGCTTCTTTTTGTCCAAGCAGGCATCACACATTTCTTATTGTAGGAACCAGGTTCCCTAGAAATAAATACTTTTTCAAGAAAAACTTTGTTTTTCTATTGGGACTAACATCTAGCTTTACAGGATTCTTTGAAATGACCAGTGTTATCACAGCGAGTGCAAATCCAATTATTAGGTACAATAACATACTTGCTATATGGATTGTAAGGAGCCTTTTCCTTTTGGAACCCAATTCCCTGTTTGTTCCCCCTGTTACTTTTACACATAGAGGTGATTGTATCAGAGGACCAGGTCCACTTCAAGAGATTTATCTAGGTCATTTTTAACCCTATTTAGATCTTCTTGAAGTTATCTATTTCTTTCAAGTTCAGCACAAAAACTCAATTTTACCTTTTTGAGCTCATTTTCAAGCTTAATATGTGCCTCACTCGCCACTTCCTTTCCTTTTGAAGAGTTCATGTAATTTTCTATTGAAGATTTTATAGAATTATTGTCCTTTTTTAAATTCTCTACTGTTTCCTTTAGATCCACAACTACTACCAACAAGTCATCTCTCTCATGTTCTACCTTTTCATTCTTCTCAGTTAGAACATTCTTTTCTTTCTTAAAATCGTCTATGGTTTCTTTCAAATCAACAACTGCGACCAGTAAATCATCTCTCTTATGCTTTAACTATCCTAATTACTCAGTTAAAACCTTTTTAACATTGATAAGATTATGATAAATATCAATCAAGACATTATCTAGAGATACCAACTTCTTTTGGGAGTAAGACTTCAAATTTCTTTGAACATCTAGAAAGTTTACCTCATCTTCATCCTCATTAGATTTTGCCATCAAGGAAAATATGGAGTCATAGTCTGTTGCTTTGATTTCAACGGCCATCATGGAGGCGTTGTCTATTTTATCATTGGCCTCAGATTCACTAGAGGAATCTCCCCATCCAGTAAGAGCTTGTTTCACAATATTATCAACGATATCTTTTCTCTTGAATTTCCTGTCTAGAACCAGGTTCCTCTTGACCGTCTTGTATATGTTGTGCTTGTAATGTTCCTGCTTGTGGAGAGGACAATATTTGATGAAATGTCCTGGCTTTCCGCATTTGTGACAGCAATCATTGCCTTTTGTTCTTCTAGAGCTACCCTTTTTCGGAATACCTCTATTTCTACGAACCATTTTCTGAAACCTTCGTGTCAAATAGGTCATGTAAGCATAATCACTACTTGATTACTATTGTTCACTTTGAGAACCAGGGTCTTTTCCTTTTTGGGTTCTCTTCTTTCATGATCCTTCTTCTTTGTCAATCGCCAGCTTTTGTTGATATTTTGCCTCCGTGATAGCATTGACTTTGCTCTCCTAAGAACCAGGTATACACCGAGTATTTTTCTGACTAGTTTGTTCCTTGGAATAATCTCTCCTAGAGAATAGAGCTCATTAATGATGTAAGTTAATCGAGTATGCATGTTCTGAATGGACTCATCATCCTTTATTTTGAAGAGTTCATACTCAGTAGTCAGCATGTTGATTTTTGACTGCTTAACTTGAGTTGTAACTTCATGTGCAATTTGGAGAGCCTCCCAAATCTCCTTGGTAAATTGACAAGCTGAGATTCTCTTGTACTCGTCTGGTCCATTACCATAGACGAGGATCTTCTTTGCTCAGAAGTTTTTCTCGATAGCTTTGCAATCGACATCATTGTACTCCTTTATTGTCTTTAGAACTATGACTGCTGTCTCGCCAATGGTCTTCATAGGGACCAAGGGTCCATCAAAGATGACATCCCAAAGCTCCGAATCTTCATCCATGATAAAACCATGCATTTTTGTCTTCCACCAGCCATAGTATTGTCCATTGAATCTTGGTGGTCTGTAGGTTGATTGACCTTCTTCAAAGTTTGGTGGAGCAACCATCTAGATCTTTTCTAGGTGTTAAACTTATAGAAAGAACATGATTTGATACCAATTGATGTAAACTAAAAGTACACCAAACTGTATCGAGAGCCTGGTTCTCTATCAGTTCCCACATAACACACATATAGAGGTACGTAAATAACACAACAATATTTACGTGATAAACTCCTAGTTCACGGGATTAAAAATCATGACCTACACTCGTAGGATTTTAACTTCACTAACCGAACAACTTTAGATTATAACCTATTGTAACCTAGGAATTAAAATCTTAATCACTCACCTACTTTCAATAACTATATTGCAAGCCTCTTTGTAATAACTCTATTAAAAAGCTCACCACTTTGACTAACTCAAATCAAACACAAACACAAGGTTTATGGTTTACAAAGATATCCTATGATATGCTTATAACTAAGCTGAGTAGGAATTACAAGTGAATATCATTAACAAAGATACAACAATACTAAGGATACTCGATCTACTCAATGCTGCAATCTGGTCCTTTGTTCTGTTGTTTCTTTTTTCTTCAAGCCTTGGAGTAAATGAGGGCGATTGCACACTTGAGAGCGAATTATGTTTTAGGGTTTGTAAGTGTGTGTTATCCCTTGCCTCATGTTGATAATATATACGTGAGGTCACTAGGATGATGCAAGCAAGTATCCGGTACACAGCATGTTTCAACACTGACACTACAACAAAAAGGGGCTTTAGCGGCAATAAAAAAGGTTTGGCGGCAATAACAATTGCCGCTATACCATTTATCGGCCATTGATGTTTAGCCGCTGATATTGGGGTCGGCAAAGCCTTTAGCGGCGTTTCTCACAAAAGCTGGTAAAGGTCTGAGTTATTGCCGCTAAATATAATTTGCTTTAACGGCAATTGTTTGCGGCAATTATAATGGCTGCTAAATCTAATCTAAAAATTGCTACTAATGCTCTTTTTACGTTCATTTTTATAGCCACTAAATTCAAAATATTTGTTGCTATAGGTCCATAGATTTAGCGGTAATTATTTTGTGGCAACTAAAATGGCTATAATATTCCTTTTGAAAACGAATTAGTACGCCATTTTAGCATCCATTTTGATGGCTAGTAAATTCAATCAAATTGCTGCTAAAAATTATTTTAACAGCAATTATAATGGCTACAATATCCCCTGTGGAAACATCATAATTTGCCCTTTTATCGTCTATTTTTGTAGCTAGTATATTCTGTTAAATTGTCACAAGCTATAACGACAATAGTTTAGCTACCATTGATAATATCTACTACATTCATTCAAAAAATAATCCAAATAATAAAACATAATAATATTGATTCATAAAAACATAATGTATCTCGTTAAATCTTAAAAAATAAAAGGAAGTACTAATCCAAAATAGTAATATCACAGTAACTTAAAAAATAAACTTATATTATTTGAAGCAAATAGCTATTGTCATTATATAACTAATCCTAACAAATAATAGTCTTCAAATAATTTCTGCAATGCTTCATCATTTTGAAATCTTCCACCGGCTAAATTATCGATAATCAGACTGTATGACCTGAAATTACAAAATAACTATGTCAATAGATGAAATATAATAGTCTTCAACTGGGATGTTTATTGAGAAACATTGATCCAAGCTAAAGTTGTTTTACTATAGAATGACCGTTCCATTTTTTCTATAGAATAAGACATAACAAATCCCACCGAAATAAATCAAACTGCAATAGTATAGATAAGAAGTAAATGAGAGGAATTTTCAAGATATCAAGCAAATCAAAAAAAGATTTAAGCTTTCAAAAGTGTGCAAGATCTCCAGGGCAATAAAGGTGAAAACCACTCCAACTGTTTCTCATGTATTGCGAAAATGCATGTCAAGGTAGAGAAGAACCTTATCCAGGCACCTAGCCAGTACTTCTGTCCAATCCTTCAGGTGAGAATTCAAATTCCAGGAGATGACCTGCTAATTTGTAAAGTCCTTTTCTCTACTAACATGCATCTCATTATGCTTCCTTGTCTATTATCACGCGACATCTTTGCAGGAAGTAATGGAAAACCCACATATAGCAGCTGATTGCTTTACATATGAGCATAGAGCAGTGAAGACATGGGTTAACAAACATAACATGTCACCTGTGACGAAACAGAGACTGCAACACAAGATACTTACCCCAGACCACACATTACGCCTTTCCATACAAGATTGGAAGTCACATTTGTTATGTGTGCATATATCAAGCCAATAATAGTTCCGGAGAACAATAAAAGGGAAGGAGTGAAAGGAAAAGAACTTGGACATATATTATATTCTATTGGAGAGGTGTCTCGAGAATAACAGCTGATTCTAGTGCTTCTACAGGCCCTGTTGATGCTACTGTAGTTAAGGGTTCTCAGGTCTTGAAGAATGCAATAGTACCTGTGGTTGATCGAAATTTAACTAGGACTTCTATAACTATAGATGCAGAGCAATAATTGACAGGGGCAGATTAACACTGTGACTGATGCAACTGTTACACGTGCTGAACTAGTTGAAAACCAGCAGGCTTTAAATCTATTGTTGTGCATGATGAGAGGCAAGAACTTGAATGTGTTGATGTTTTGAATAGTGTAGCTGTTACAGGTGATAAGACAATGCTTGAACAAGCTGAGAACTGTCCAAATAGTCCACTGATCAGGCCATCAATGTTGAAGTTATACTCAGATAGTTGGGGTGCCTCTACCGGCCCAATGAGCCTATCGACTGATCAGGCTCAGTGAACTCAACTTGGTCGGTTGGCCACCTACCTAAAAACCACATGCTGCCAGATGCAATTGCTCTAAGGCCTTTATCTTACTACCCTCATCCCTTTACTCTATAAGAAATCTGAATGATTTCTTTATTCTTTTTCTGTGGTGAACATTTTAATTCATTTTTTTTTGCAGAGATGTCCATGGTTTATCTTCAAGGAAAGACAAGATAATCACAGTGGTCATGATTGTTCAAGCTGTTGTGACAAGCTTTATTGCTATTGCTGTCAACATCTACAATCTGATTGGAAATAGTTCATAATGACCTAAAAGTCATATTTTAATTAGAGGAACCTCCAGATGATGTACACAATACATTGGCTAATAGTAATCAGGGTGCACCTTAAACAAACAACTATTCAAACTCCAACATATTAAAATATTGTATCCTAATTCCATCAAATGATTTCCTTGCCATTTTATTTTGATTGTCATAATTCAAAATAATATCTAAGAGGTAGCCAACCATAGCACATTATGGGAGGTGTGAAAAACAATATCTCCATACACACTAAAGATTTAGTCTCTTTGATATCATAAATTTGGATTTAAACAACTCCATACCTTCACTTTGGTCCCAAGTTTGCAGTTTTTAAGAGATAATATGGCCTAAGTCACTATGTTCTAAGGTGTTATCTCAATCTTAGGTTTTCATCATTGTCATCTGAGAAGTATACTAAGGCAATTAAAGCTGAATTTTGTTTTTTTCTTATATTATTCACTTTTAGTTATGTCTCACGCAATCAAAATATTAGGCAATTTTTTCGTGACACGAGGTTCATGATTCTAGTGACTAGCTAGATTGTTACATATAATTTCAAATGATAGTATCAGAACAGGCAAATAAAGTTCTCATAAATTCTGGAAAGATAAGCAAAATTCAGAAAATAAAAGAGAAGAAATCTTACGATTGTCCTTGCAGACTCTACATCCAGTGGCCTACCATCCTTACGTTGTTTATGAGTTAATATGAAAACGTATGCTCATGTAAGCTCTATCCCATTTTCAGCCTAATATAATATAATAATATCAAATATGCATAACAAAGAGAGTTTTAGAAAATTAAATTTTAAAATATACACAAGAATATCTTCTCATCCATCAAGGCGACAATACCTTTTGACCCTCCTATGTGAGGCATCTTTTGATTTGATCTGCTATTTCTATTTGCTTGTGTACGCTTCTATCATTACAACATAAAAGTAATATCTAATTATTTATACATAAAAACTAACAAAAACAATCACATAATAAAAATTAAATGTGTATTTTAAAAGTATAAAATTGATACTTTCGCTTTATCAGAAAGCCAATAAGAGACCAGACTGGTCCATTGATCTCGTGGTATATGACTTGGTTATTTCTTAGCAAAGCATATTTCGTCTTAAATTTTGTCGTATACACATTTTTCAAGTCACATTTGTAATCCTTCCATTTCTTTCCTGTTGACTTTATGACATATGCTTCTCCACGAGTTGGGATAGAGAACTTCTTTTGTGAAATAAAATAAAACAATCAAAAGATAATATCACGTATAATAAAATAATATATTATTATATTCACACATCATAAGAATAATAATAACTCCATACCTTCACAAACTCCACCAGTTTCTTCTTTTCATCTTTGGTAAAGTTTCTCCAATCATCTATGTTTAGAGGTGTTAGTTCTGGAGTTCTAACGATTATGCCTAGAAAGCTAGCAAGCTTTCGACCCTCTTTTCTTATGGGTTGGTTACGATTATTGAATTGTATAGCAATTATATTCCCTGGTGGCAGTTTTCAGATATCTTTTAATATTGTGGTCCCACGAACCTTTCTTTCATCAGAACTACCTGATTTGAAAAAGATTTAATGATCATCAAATCCATATAGAGAATGGAACAGTTGTTTTCCAAATTAGTGCAACATCTTCTATTTTTCTTTTAATCTACTATAAGATGTTATCACCAAAAAGTCTCAAGGACAACAAAATATACTATGGAATAAAATTTTTAAGAGGTATATACTTCTGTAGTAAGAGCATGGGAGTGCAGGACACAACCAACATAAAAATATTTATAGAAAATCCCAAGGAACAATAAAAATAAGAACAATGTACCACTCAGTAAATGAACTAACATGTCCAGTAGATAAACAAAAAGTATTACTTGATTCATCATTCTATTGAATCTTAGTATTGGTAGAATTATACAATTCATTAGATTGAATATCATGTGTTTGTACTTGAGATCAGTTCTGACTATTCATCAATTGTTCAATATAAGGTCGCGCATCAGCATCATCATGTTGTTGAATAACCATCCTGTTTTCACCTCTAGTTCGCATAGCTCCTTCTCCAAAATAAAGTAATTAATAAGCTGCAATAACGTGTGAAAGTGGACAGAAGACAAAAATTGTATCTGGAGGTTGTCAAAATTACTGCCACTCAATCAAAATTTTCACATAATCCACTAATAGAGATAGATACTTGAGCTCGAAGACAATTTACATTAACATAAAATATGATAATAAGGGAACAATTATTTTTGACAAGGATAATCCAAACGAAAAACAGTTTGTACAATAATGATTCATGACCTCTGATCACATACCTTAAGTATAAATAATTCAAAGCAAACCAACTGTCAAAATTATGGAGCAAAGCAAAGTGTTAACAACTAAATGGTTTAACAGGTAATATTTATTTCAAATTGAAGGATTTAGACCCAACCAGTTATCTTTGCCCAATACTTTAATTTAATAGTAACTTTTCATCAATTTTTGTGGCAAAATCAGTAAAAGATCACAACAAAATGCAGGTAAAATTGAGACTATACTTTCACCAAAACAAACTAAAAATATTTTCACAAGAGTATGATAACACAAGTTTATGTTCTATGATTTCACAATAAATTCCAAAAACAAATGCAAAGAAAAAACCCCAATTTTCTTAGAGAAAAAGGAAGGGTTTTTTTCCTAGGGAATTTCAAAAAGAGGAAAACCTCTTAATCTAATAAGATTCAGAATCCCAAATTCACAAATTCAAGGCAAAATTCCTAACTATAGCCAATACCCCACATGAACTAAACTCATAAACATACCAAAACGATACAAATATTCCAATCTTCCCAAATAACTCCAAAGACAAAATATTTTTACAAAATTTAGTTATTTTGCGCATAAATTGGTCCAGATACCATGATCATTCAAAAAATTCAAAGAAAAAAATCAAGAAAAAGAAAAAAATAGATATACTTTGAGATGAACTTTAAATGAGTCTGGCCGATGAATATATTGAAATTGAATATGAAGAAGGAACAAGAAGGTATCAAAGGTGGCGTTTTGTTTTATTTGATCAAAAAAGATTATGGCGACATCTAATTTTGAATCATCCAATTTAACCCTAAAGATAGAAATAAAAATATAAGAAAGATAACTCACCAGCAATTGTTATGGTGGCCAAGAATTTTGGTTGCAGAGAGCTACCAAATTGAGAAGATACTTTATGTGATTTAGAGCGTAGCTTTCCCCCCCCCTCTTATTTGCAGTCTTTAGGGTAAATAAAGTACTAAAATTTAGGCGCGAGGGAAAAGAAAAAATAATTGTTTTAGCAGCTTTTCCTCGAATGGACGCTAATACATACTAATTAGCAGCCAATATTCATTAGCCAGTAATATTTGCCTTCCATAAATAAATTAGCGGCAATTGTCTTATTGCCGCTAAATAATTGTCATTAAAGACTTTTTTGTTGTAGTGTGACTGCTGCATTGTTGCGTCTGTGGTGTAGTAGCTTTACTGCTGTAATGAGTTTAATTGTACCGTGACTAGAGGAACTGATAGTCATATATTCCCTCTGTTATTTCCTTAAGTGAAATCATTGGAACTTATGCCAGACAGGTGACTTGTTGTTCTGAGCACGTGGAGGATTTGTATTAGCTTCCCCATCTGGTTCTCATATGAAGTTTGTTAGATCATCAAAACACAAAGGCACATAACTTATCATGGTTTGTTTTTGGTGTTGTCTAGTAACGGTTGATGTTTAAGTTGTGCGACCAAAACTATACAAACATCGAAGAAAGGATTTTCGAGTTTTTCAAAGAAAAATAGAAAAGACAAATCAAATAAACATTTAAATTTTGTAATAAAGTTGGATTATATAAAACGAAACGAAGCAGGAAGCATATGCCTGTTCGTTTCAAAACAAATCATTTTGGTTTGATTTTGTTAGGTCTCAAATTGTTGTACTTTCAAAGGACAAACAAACGCATATTAGGGTGTTTTTGTGTCACGACCCAAAACCACCAATCGATCGTGACTAACTTGCTTGATATGCAAGTCGAACATAATAAATGCGGAAGAAGATAACAGAAATAACAGAAATAGTGAAAGTCTAAAGTCAATAACATAAATAACTGTGTCAATACATAAAAATCTTCCCAAAACTAGTAATATAGAGTCATGAGCTCAAATATAGAAATACATGCTTGAAATACAAAATGTAAATATTGTCTGAATGATAAACAACAACACTGAAATGCAAAAGAGACGCCGAAGACTGCGGTCGATATGCAGCTCTACCTCATCTCTCGAAGATACTCACAACAACAAATCATAATGACTCACGGCTCGATCCAACACCTTGCACAATTAAGTGTAGAGTGTAGTATGAGTATGACCGACCCCATGTACTAAGCAAATATCATAACGAACCTCAGCGAGGTAATATAGGCAAGAATTATCAATGATACTCGCAAATAACCTGTTCAGTTCATAAATTTTACAAATATAAATAAAGCCACCTCGGTGCACAAAAGATAACATGACATGCTTTATTTTAATTAACAATCCAGAATACAGAGAAGATATGCATACCAAGACATGTATACATTCCTGATCTAACATACAGAGATGATATGCGAATAAAACATGTATACATCCAAAGAAATTGCAAGTAGAGAAGAAATTCCATAACCAAAAACAAACACTGGCCAGTTTTTCTCATACCACGTGTACACCATCAAGAGAGAAACATGCGAGGGTGACCCTAGGGGAATGGATCCTTATCCACACACTGCATAGACAACTCACGTGCTAACAACACAGTTCATATCGTACAGAGAAACATATACAAGAATACATGTACATGAACAATGGATGCCAAATTACATACTCATGGACTGATATAAGTGACATGCTAAGGTGTAGGCATGTGCGAAGTGTATTGCCATGTTCAAATCAGGAGACCACACCACCAAAATAGCAATTAACATGTTTGAATAAGAGATCAACTATCAAATAATAACATGATACAATTAGCTCACAAAAGGGTGTCGCGATCCCAACCCCGGTCGTGATGGCGCCCAACACATCGATAGGCAAGCTTGACCAACTATCAACCACAACCCATTTTCTTATAAAGTCCAATATCACCTAACACAATTTAATTATCAAATTAACATAATAAGGTTCTGAAATAGCAAGTTAAATATGCGGAAGTCAAAAGATAATACCACTACATAGCCCACACCGATCCGGTGTCACAAGTCTCGAGCCTCTAATACAAGTTCAACAGCCTACTACACAAACAGTCTAGGAATGCGGAATACAATAGAAAAGAAGGAAGAAATCAGTGTTGCGGACGCCAAACAGCTACCTCGATACTCCCGGATAATGCTGATCTACTGGAATGCTCTCACTCAGCCTCTGGAATACCTGGATCTGGATGCAAGGTGCAGGGAATAATGTGAGTACTCCGACCCAGTGAGTAATAAGCATAAATAATGACTGAGAGTAAGAAATCACGTATACACAGTGTAATCTATAATGTGACAGTTAAACAAGTAGTATAAAAGCAATAAACCAATAAAAAGCAGAATGAGATAATTCTACAACAGATAAGTAGTTAAGTGACAGACAGTTAAAGAAAAATAAACACGTAGAACAGTACCAGCCCCTCGGGCTCTCTCTCTCATATCACAACTGGGTACCCGCGCTCACTGGGGGTGTGCAGACTCCGGGAGGGGCCCCTTACGGCCCAAGTGCAATATCAAGCCATCTCGTGGCATCAAATATAGGCCCTCGGCCTCATATCAATATCAGCCACCTCGTGGCATATATATGTATCTCAGGCCCTCGGCCTCATATCAGTATCATTGTATCCTCACATCTGGCCCTCGACCATACTCAGTCCAGAAATCATATAAGCCCCTCGGGCATTAGTAAAACAGTAGTCCTCAGCCCAAAACACCATTTAAAATATCATTTTAGTTCCAAAACCGAGTAAAAAGTGGTTGAGTTGTAAAACAGTGGAAAACAGTATGACTGAGTTCAAGTATAAGTCAACACAGTGAGGTAATAGTGATAAAAATCCCTGGAGGATTCAAATAGCTGGCACGAAGCCCAAATATGACAATGAGTCCAAATAATGATGATAACAAATAAGTTTCAATCAAATACGCGGTAAAATCATCAATCAGGACGGACCAAGTCACAATCCCCAATAATAAACGACCTCACGATCATCATCAAACGCGTGTCTCACCTCGATATAGCACTACAATGTGCAAATCCAGGGTTTCAAACCCTCAGAACATCATTTACATTCAATACTCACCTCAAACCGGCTAAATCTCTAGCTCGCGATGCCTTTGTCTCTCAAATTGGCCTCCTCGCGCGTCGAATCTAACCAAAACCAGAACGAATACGTCACAATATGCTAAGGGAACAAAACCCAAGCGAAAACAATAAACAAATATCGAAAATCCCAAAATTAGCAAAAACCCGAGCCCCGGGCTTACTTCTCGAAACTCAGAAATTTTCACATCAATGGGTTCCTTATCCTTCCATGAGTTCATACATGTCAAAATTTCTCAAATCTTACCTCAAATGGTCCTTCAAATCCTTATTCAAAAGTTCAAAATCCCAAGCCCTAGTTCTTCCATTTTTAGCTTAAATTCCATGAATTTCTAGGTTAATTTCACAATAGAATCACGCTTTAGGTTCAAAAAGCTTACCTCCAATCAATTCTCCTTGAATCCCTCTTTAATCACCTTCAAAAAGCTCTCAAAATACTCAGCTATGGAGGAAAAATGGCTCAAAATCGCGGAGGAAATGACTTATAAACTTTCTGCCCAGTTCTGATATTTCTTCTTCGCGAACGCGGTCAAAATCTCGCGTTCGCAATGCACAACTTATCTTGACCAGATTTTCCTTCTACGCGATCGCGACATAGGACTCGCGAATGCAACAACATACCTGCGAACACGAAGCACAATTTCACTTCTAATCCACTGACTAAAATCCTTCTATGCGAACGCAACAATACCCCTCGCGAACGCGATGCATCAAGTTCACTCCCCTTTGCGAACACGTGGCCTGCCTCGCGAACGCGAAGGGCAATTTCACACCTTCCTCCTCTTATTCTTCGCGAACGCGAGGACCCTTATGCGAACGCGAAGAGATAAATTGTTGCAACTGCTGAGATCAATTTTCTGCAACTTTCCAAATTCAAAAGTGGTCCGATTGATCACCCGAAACTCACCTGAGACCCCTGGGACCTCAACCAAAAGCACCAAAACATCCTAAAACCTCATTCAAATTTGTTCCAATCATCAAAACACCTCAAACAACATCAAATCACCCAAAACTCATCGAATTCAAGCCTAAATTTTCTAAAAACTTCCGAAATACACTTTTGATAAAAAACCCAACCAAAACACGTCCAAATGACCTGAAATTTTACACACACATCCCAAATGACATAACGAAGCTATTGCAACTCTCGGAATTTCATTCCGACCCTCGAATCAAAATCTCACCTACCCATCGAAAATCACCAAAATACTAACTTCGCCAATTCAAGCCTAATTCTACACCGGACCTCCAAAACCAATTCCGATCACACTCCTAAGTCTTAAATCACCTCCCGAAGCTAACCAAACCATCGGAACTCACATCCGAGCCCTCTAATATATAAGTCAACATCCGGTTGATTTTTTCAACTTAAACCTTCTTAAAAGAGACTAAGTGTCTCATTTCTTACCAAATCCACTCCGAACGCAAACTACTCAATTTGATCACATAAAACACGGATAACGAAGCATAATGAAGCAGAAATGGGGAAAATGGAGCGGTAACTCATGAGACGACTGGCCGTGTCGTCACATCCTCCCCAACTTTTAAAAACGTTCATCCTCGAACGAGTCAAGGAACATACCTGAAACCTCAAATAGGTGAGGATATCTGCTCCGCATCTCCCGCTCGGTCTCCCAGGTAGCCTCCTCCACGGGCTGACCTCTCCACTGCACTTTCACAGAAGCTATATCCTTTGACCTCAACTTCCGAACCTGACGACCCAAAATAGCTACTGGCTCCACATCATAGGTTAAATCATCATCCAACTGAACCGTGCTAAAGTCCAAAACATGAGACGGATCCCCAATATACTTCCAGAGCATAGAAACATGAAATACCAAATGCACACTCGACAAGATGGGTGGCAACACAAGCTCATAAGCCACCTCCCCAATCCTCTGAAACACCTCAAAAGGCCCAATAAACCGCGAACTCAACTTTCCTTTTTTCCCAAATCTCATAACACTCTTTATGGGCAAAACCTTCAACAAGACCTTC